GGCCTATTGCTTGCAAAAAGTGGTAGTGTGATACGAAAATCAGGAGCACATAATGGCAATTCTTTACTGACATTAACAGTCTTCTTCCCGACCTGTCTGACTAGAGAGATAAATGTTTTTCTATTGATAAATTGAAATATGAATATATTCAGGTCTTATGTTCATGTACGTGAGAGATAAAACTATTTTCTAGTTGATTAATTGAATTTTCAATACCGGTACGAATGTATTTTATATAATATGTTGATACGTGATAGATATATTTATTTATTTTATGCTGACTTAAAAGTAAAAAAGGTTGTTTCTAACTTTGAAAGGATAATATCATTAACATGTGTCCTACTTTAACTCTTCAAATATCTTTATGTTTGTTCACGATCAAGTAAAGGTATTTTTATTCATCTGGACGTAAGATTTAAATATAAACATTTTTTAGGTAGAATACAGATAGACTATACAGTCTTATTCAAATTAGACCACTTCAGTTAGAGTCTAAAGAGGGGCCTCTTGAACATTTGTCTGTTTGATGACACCATCAGACAATCAAATTTCTGCGCTCTCCAATGCTGGGATTTTGTGATGCGAACAAATGGTGTATTCCTGTCGTGAAGCATACTACATGTATTCCTTAGAAGCATAAGAAACAGAATACACCTTTAGTTCATGTGACATGTGAGATAATTTGATTAGGCTAAGAAACTATACAGTTAAAGACTTAAAGCCAATTAGACTGGTTGTGTTTATATTTTGAAATATGCTCAGATGTACATTAATATCATTGTTAAAGTTAAACTATAACTGAATGTTGACTCACATGACTAACAAACAGTAAAAACATTGTTATTAATTTATTTATTTATTTGTATGTCAGTTACCACAATGTATCGAGAATATCGCAACTCATTTAACACAGCACCAGGTTTGTCTAATCACTAATTTAACTAACAACAATATTCATATTTCTTATAGAGATACAGTTGTTATTTACCTTAAATACTACATACTTTGTGACTCTTCTCTTGTTTACTAGCTTACTAACAGCAATATTTCTCTTTTCTAAAGGGATAAAGTTGTCTAAATATTTTATTCAAAAATGATAAAACCCTTTTTCAGCCATCCATATCTCTTTTCAAAATCAAAATCCAGCTTTCAGTTCACTGATAATCACTAGAAATGTACTGTGGAACTTTAGTTGTCACTTCCAGGATGTCATCTAAATTTCCTGATTTAACGATTTTTTCAATGAATTGCAGGAGAATTGTAATTAGATTGTAATATATATTTTTAAGTGATACAGAATAGCTGCAGTTATACTGGGGAAGTTTAAAGTTGTAAAAGTATATGTATTGATGATGTTATCACTTTCCCTATAATAAAAGCATTAACATCCCCCTGTTTCATTGACACAACTCTTATCTTAGGCTTTTTTCGCCTTATCTAAACATATTTATTTAGAATTTTTATTTCATATTAGAGCACTACTATTTTTGACGATTCTTAGGATATTTTTTTTTGATACCGGTAGTTACATTGTTAGATTTCTTCTTTGGCATACCTTTCAGTTACTTGTAATCTGTATATCAATTGATTAAATTTGCAGATGTTTTGTCTCAAATTTTTGGCTGTTGATGACCTATCTTTGAACAAATTCTATGTTACTGTTCAATATTCAACCAACTTAATGCTTTAACATGTGAACAAATTTAGGATCCTCATGGCATCACTTTATTAATGAAGAATGTCATCACCATTTTCCTTTTTCTATGCTTTTCAAATAAAAATAGATATCAGGAAAATCATTATCTACAATAACATAAATGCAGTTCCTCATTACTTCTTGCATCAAAAAGAATTTAAAGGACATTTTAAAGGATTTTGCAATACTTTTTTATCTTTCGAAAAGTTCAAATGAAGACCTGCCATGCATGATATTGATCCTTTAAATAAAGTAAATGGGTCCTTCTATCTATTGATATCCATCTATAGAATTGTCTTATCTATAATTTGTACTTCTATTCATCGAAGGATTATTTAATCAAAGTGTTTTTAATGATTATGTTTTAATTAATTAGTAGGCAATGGTACACTAATTAATCCTGTCAATCATCTATCAACTACCACCAGTAGACCTAGTAGTAATAATAGTAATAGCTCCAATATGACTCAACAATTACTGTGTAATGTAGACGACATCCAAGATGGAGGGTAGGTGGTCTTATTGTCATTTCGCCATGAAGTTTCAACAGAAGTATAGTGTAATGGGATAAATTTTGTAATATAACAATGGTTACTCTGTAAAGTTGAGTACATCCAAGATGTTGGTAGATGATTAAGTTGACCTAATTGCATTGTTTGAGATGTGTTAAAGCAGTAACAGACAACCCATAAACCCCTTTATTTGCATGGTTTTTATTTGGATCAGAATATTTATGATGTATATTGCATATTGATTAGTATATGCTGTCTAGTGGCTTGTCACTGTGAGGTATATTTCTTGAAATAGATTTGGAATGAAAATCTGTACTTATATATATTAATAGAATGAAAGAAGTAGAAATAGATGGTAATAAAATATTATTAGTACAGGAATGTGAACAGTATTATGCTGTAGGGGGAAAATGTTCTCATTATGGTGCACCATTAGCTAATGGTAGGTACAGTCCTATAACTGCATCAGGATCATGCTTGAAGGTTCATGTTTGTTCCTGAAGTAACATGTTAAACTTATTAAAGACAGACAATGCCATGCATTGTGCAATGAGGAAAGAATGGGAACAGCAGCATTAACCAACTGTTTTTAAATTGCGTACATGGCCTCATTTTGTTTTAAGTCCCACCTTCATGAAGGTGAAATTCTCAGAAATCTGATATATTGTTATTTTCATTGAAGGGTCTCTGTGTAAAGGAGTAGTAAGATGTCCATGGCATGGTGCCTGTTTTGATGTTAAGACTGGTGATATAGAAGATTTCCCTGGTTTAGATAGTTTACCAACATATCAGGTAAGTGCCAGATTAGTCTGGAATAGCTTTAAGCTCTTGAGTTCAAGTAAAATAAAAGCAGCTTTGGCCTTCTCTTTTGAGTGCACAACCTGTTGCACACAGGACCTTGGCTTATTGTCCCATTTGAATGACTAGTCTCCTAATTCATGTCAACCCCTCTAACAAGGGAAAACAGGATTGAAAGTTTAAGGTATCATTTCAGAATTGAACCCTGGACACCTTGACTTTCAGGTTATCAAGCACCTGTTCAACTTTCAAGGCTACAACAGTCCCAAAGAGGCTCTTCATCTGGGTTAGTTGCAGACTCTGCAATGTAGAGTTACCATTTGATGCAGTCACTGAGAAACCGTTTTGGATTATGCCTTGGAGTGATTCCTTAAAATAATGTCTATTTTGTAAATACTCATTTAATATTTGTTTTGCAGGTTGTAGTGAAGTCGGGAAAGATATATCTAAAAGATGGTGGAAATCTAGCCAGTACTAAACGAGTAAAATCTATGTGTCGTCAAAATGCTGACAATAGGAAAACATTTATTCTGATTGGAGGAGGTAAGATGCTACTTGAATAACTACAAATCCAGTTTTTAATCAAGCAAGACAGAAGTAAGGAAAACAACTGAAATACACAAGAATCAGCTGGCCCTTGGTGTAACCTTCTTGGAATTAATCTTTCCCAGATTATCCATACCCTTTTATTGGTCTTTATAGTTCGGTTAACATGTATTATGAGGATAGATGACTTATTCAAGGTCATCAGGTCTTCACAAGGCAACTGGTTTGAAATAACCTAGGAAATGACATAATTCCAAAGCTATAACCAACTGAACTACAGCACATCTTGATATGATTTGCTGCTGAATTGACAACTGTTTGTGTCTTTCATTGATGTTATGTATTTGTTCAACAAAATGGTCATCCCAGATCCCAGATTCTTGATATCAATATATCACATGTTATATAGGGCCAGCATCAGTAGTATGTAGTGAAACATTACGACAGGAAGGTTTTACTGGTAGAATTGTCATAATTTCTAAAGAACCAACCTTACCTTATGATAGACCAAAACTTAGTAAGGTGAGTTTCTTCCAATGCCAATTGTTAAAGACTTTTCAAAGAACCCAATTGAAACCTATTACAAAAGTTTACATTCAACAAGAACTATTTTACATTATATTTGAATTTGATTAAAGAATTTTACTGATGATTTTAGGCAATGGACTCTAAACCTGAAGCCATAGCTTTAAGAAATGAAGAATTTTATAAGAATTATGATATAGAAATCAAGAAAGGACATGAGGTAGGAAAATTGATTTTAGATCTGTGATTCTCATTATCAGAATTCAATTATTGATCTGTTTTGGTGTGATACTGATATTGAGACCAGTTTGTTTTCACATCAAGAACACTTTTCCTTGTCAGTCCTACCAATCTGCATAACTCACAAAGGGAACTGTATTAAAACTATTTTAACAAGCTTTGCCATCCTAGCTTCAGGAGGATGATTAGTGAGGCATATTCAGCCTTCTAACACATCTGATGACACTCTGCATAGGAGTTTCGTATCACATGACATATAAGGTCTATTTGATACATAAACTCACTTCTATTGTATTACCTACAAACAGTTAACTTCTCTTTAATGTTTACAGGTTGTATCTGTAGATGTTAAATCTAAAACAGTCCAACTTTACGACAGAAAGAAACTGTCGTTTGATTCTCTATTTATAGCTACTGGTGGGAAGTAAGTTTAGGATATATTGATACTATAACTTGATATAAAAAAAATACCTTTGATCTTTATATTCTATTTCTGAGTGGGTGGAGCTTAACTGTGGTAAAACTAGATTAAATCAAAGTTACAGCATATTTTGTTCTATAAATGTATAATGCAAAGAGAGTGACTAAAGATTTTTGCTGAGATCATTACGGACATATAATCTCACCCTCAACACGTAACCCAACAATCAAACTCAATTGTGATAATATTAGTTTATTGCAACCTAGTAACATAACTGTTAAAACAATGAACGAAATAAGCTGCATTGTTTCCTTTTCTAACAAACAATTCTCTTTTAATAGACCAAGATCTTTACCTATAAAAGGAGTAGATTTACAGAATGTGTTTACTTTACGAACCCCAGCAGATGCCAAAAAAATTTACGAAGCCGCACAAGGAAAACATGTTGTTGTTATAGGATCATCATTTATAGGTAGGCTGATTTTGCTTCGACTTGCTTGGTGTGGTTTTCTCACAAAGTTTTCACTAGACAATGATTAGACCGTTAATAATGAGCATGACAGGTTTTGTTAAACTTTTTAAATGTATAGGGACACTGATAGAATCGATTTGCACATTTCCAATTTCGTTGACGTCACTGTAGCAAAAGCCTTGAGATATTATTAGCAGCTTTTGTGAACGTGACGTGACATCAGGGCGATCCAATTGATTCTTTAATGAGTATCTGCGAATCAATTAAATTGGATATTTTCTTGAAAATGTTTGTTTTTTCTGCAGATTCTAGAATAAGAGATTGCTCTATTCATGTAGATATACATCCATCTAGTCTCTCTAATACAGTCATTTCAATGTCATATTGTTATGAAATGTGCATCAAAATTTGAATTGATGAGACAAAAGAAATAAATTTGTACGACAATGTGTTGATCTAATATATCAATATAAAGTTCACGCTGTGATCATACCATACTAGGATTGGAAGTGGCCTCGTGTTTAGCAGGAAAAGTTAAAAGTCTCTCCGTGGTTGACATGATTCAAGTTCCCTTTCAAAAAATATTGGGTCAGAGAATAGGACAAGTTTTCCAGAAGGTCAGGGTCTTGCATGTTTCCCACATATACGTCTGCTTGCTTCTTAACAATGACCACCCCCAAGCTAGTGCTAGTTATATAATTTATGTTGGTAATAAAATAATTTATCTACAAAACATTGCAAGATTCACCAAATAGTAAAGAAAATATTGTTATGTACATCAAGAGAGACATAAAAGCCTGCACAATCCGCATATTTTTGGTTATTTGAATTTATAAAGAACAAAATACAATATCTGCTTTTGTAGTTTGAATAACTATTAATTCTACCTGAAAATACAGCAATATAATTTTCTGGTTTATGTTTGAATCAGACCTGGATGTGGACAAATATCTTTGTTTGTCTAGACACTGTATATAATAATGTATTAGATAATTTGTTCTAATTACATTAATTAACATTAAGAAAAAAATAACGTGTTCTGCCTTCTCACTTTATTGGTAATGGTTTTGATTTTCAGAGGTTTTCAATTTGTTTTTACCATCTTTTTAACACATTATGATTAAAGTCAATTCATTTCAGGGCTGTTGATTTCTCTGTCATTTCTGATTAGAGCTTTAAAATGTCTTACTGACTAAAATTATTTTAGTGGGCCGTTAAAGGACCTAAAAAATGTGAAATTGTATTCAAATCATTGAAAACATTTCCCCTGCTTTCTATGTTTCATGCTTATTGTTGTGTTTTGTCTGTCCTATGCTAGGTCTAGAAGCAGCTGCTTTTCTTCATGATAAAAGTAAATCTGTGACAGTTGTTGGGCAGAGTAATGTGCCCTTGGCCAATGTTTTTGGTGAAAAGTTAGGTGAAGTATTTAAAAAGGTATTTTTGATTTACAATGATGGCATTTTGTGCTGTTAGCATAATGTAAAACCTATTGGTTGACTTTCTCTTTGAAGCAATGTTTCAACAAAACAGACTTGGTCAATAAGTATATATATTCATCAGTTGGACTAACAAGGTGTCATGACTAAAGAATAGAATCTCTCTCTCTATATATATATATATATATATTAAACTAAATAAATTTTGAAAAATGCTTCTTTTTCTTAACTTTCAAACTTTTTTTATTGAAAGTTACATGAAGATAAGGGTGTAAAATTCCACCTTAACGCTGGTCTAGAAGAATTAAAAGGGAGAGAGGGTGTATTAACTGATGTTGTATTAAAAGATAAAACAAAACTATCAGCTGATGTCTGTATACTAGGTGTTGGTATGTTTCTATTTTTTATTTATTTCTGTATTGAAAAAGGAAGAAACAAACAAGTATATTTTACAAGGATAACAACTTAGGTTCACAATTAAGGATCCTTTATACTGTTGGTCCTTGGCCAATCTTGACATTGATCTTTCACGAATTTTATCTTCACCCTTTATCAGCTGTTTTTGACTGGAATTATGAGTGAAGATGAGTTATTCAAGGTCATCAGACTTTCATGTCCTGATCAAAATCGGAACCCATGACTGCTAATTTTTTGCAAGCAAAAGACATCCTATAAAGAACAAACTCTCTAACTGACTATTCCCATTCTCTAAAGCTGGCACATGCTCCCCCCTTTAAACAGAGACAGAAAAGATATAAATGATCTTATCAGTATAATTGTGTTATATTTCAGGTGTTGTTCCAGGAACTGGCTTTCTAAAAGGATCTGGTATAGAATTATCTGATAGAGGATTTGTCTCTGTTAATCAGGTAAGACAGAATAGAGAGCTACAGACAGTACATGGTTGTTAATTGCTTACCCCTTATCCTCAACTTTGGCAGCCATTGGCAGGTTCACAGGGACTTGATTACCTGCCTCCTTCAAGGTTTCTGTAATATTAAGGATTCTAGTAAGATATTTGTACTGGTTGTGGATCGATGTAAAGTCCTCTTTAGAAAGTGTAAGTAGTCATTAACACAATATAAGTCTAGCTAGAATAACTTCAATTGCTACTTATTATACCTCTAAAGAAAATAGACTAGGAGTGTTTAAGTTCAAATATCTTTACTCAACTATATCTTTGCTTAACCGTTTAAATTGACCACTAATATAAAAATTATATTGTAGAATCTAGAAACTAATATAAAAGATGTATATGCTGGAGGAGATATTGTAGAATTTCCATTGTTCATTACACCAGATAATAGTAAAGTTAACATACAACATTGGCAGATGGCTCATCAACATGGTAAATCTATATTTAATTATTTCATTCAAAATATGTCCATCAAATATATTATAGACTTAAATGGATTGTAAAGAGGTTTTGGTCAAGACATCTGGTTCTTGTGATCTAACTCAAACTAAGCATTCTCTGAAGTCACTATTGCAAAAGTCCTTAGATATGATTAAAAGTTTTGGTTATTGTTTGGTATATATTCTGTGTTCTTTCATTCAGAGGTTTGATATTTTTGCAGGTCGAGTAGGGGGTAGGAATATGGCTGGTATTAAAACAGATATTAAAAGTGTACCTTATTTTTGGACTGTAATGTATGGTAAAAGTGTTAGATATACAGGTATTGTATAGGCTCTTGTTATTTTATAATTTGTAATGTCTATCAATAGTCTCTTCAAGACCTCAGGAACTATCATTTATTTGTACCATGTTTCACTATGGAGGGTAAATCTAGTAACATGGACTGAGGCTATGAATATTCATGATATCACATGATTTTGATATGGGTGTGTGATGAATGTTCATCAAGACATTATTACCTATCGCTTGTCACTGAGACCAGATTGTATCATGTTTTCTATATATAACAGGCTATGGTGTTGGTTTTGATGATGTTATTATACATGGTGATTTAGAGGCTCCTAAATTTGCAGCATTCTACACTAAGTAAGTACCAGTATAATGTCTTGATTATGTCAGAATTTCTTTTAACCCTGATAACTCATGCTAGTTGTCATCTTGCTTCTGTGAGTTCACAAACTTGAAGAAAGTCAAAGATGAACAAATGGGATATGTGTAACTTCTCTCACCATCCATGATCTGACAAGATTTTTTTTATAAATCATATTCAAGCAATGTCCACAATACACATAAAAGCCTCTTTCAAATCCCTTTAACAATTTTCAACATTTATTTTCAGGGGAGATAATGTGGTAGCTGTAGCTAGTTTAGCTTATGATCCTATTGTATCTCAGGCTGCTCAATTATTAACACAGGGTGAACAAATCAAAAAATCAGAAATCAAGTGAGTAGTTGTTTAGAATTCAGTTTTTCAGGATCCCATCCAGAATAGGTCAGAAAGTTATTTTGGCTACATTGCATAGAATACTGGTATTTGTCTTCTGTAACCATGCTGAGAAAGTTATCTTGATTTGAACTGTTGCTAAGAATGTAGTATGCGTCAGTCTCGGGTAAATTTGATTTAACATACAGAGAATGAAATTTCACATAAATTTCTAAAATCATTGAAGAATATTTGCCTTATTCATACTTTACAGAGAAAGGGACAACTGATAGCAAGTCATTAGTTATATCAATAAGTCACAAGGTACAGGTCAGAGATTCAAATTTCTCTATGAATTTATTAAATTGATTTGTTAATGACTAATTTCTCTTTCTTTCAGAGATGATCCTAATACCTGGACAAAAAGATTATCAAATTAAATGAGTTCACATCTCTGTAAACTGCCACCATATTCTATAACAATGTATAGTTGGCATTTACAAAAGAAATATGTATCCAGACTGCCAAATTGTATTAGCATCTATATATGGACATTGTAGAGCTAGTTTGTATTGTAAAGATACTATAAAATCTTTTTCTTCATGAACATCAAATTTACTTGATATGTTTTAATTAGCACGTATTCAAAATTGACAAATTATCAAAAATCAATTAATAAATAGTATCAATATCACTATTCAAAATTTACTATTCTCATAGTAGTAGGAGATAGAGGCGGGCAGGGGGTGACTGAAAAAATATCGGTCAACAACCCGAAAACAAAGATAAAATTCGTGGGAAAATTTCTGACAAACCAGCCTGCTCCAACAGGCCTTCGCCCCTATACCTATTCTATACTTTAAACAAAGGAAGCACTTGCTTCTGCTCTTCGAATATGTGATAAAACTTATTCATGAATACAAATAGGCATAACACTGTCTTTTGTTATTGCTAGCTTATAATTAGTGCTAGAACTTGTTAGAGCTAGGATTCGTTATATTTTTGAATGTTTGTAAGAGAAATTGATAAAATAAATGAATGATTCACGTGAAAAATGTATACTGTGATATTTGTTATCTAGTGTTAGATGAATTATTGATAATGAATAGTATTGTTAATTGTTTTGATTTATTACATTGTTATCTTGAATTAGTGTCTACATCACCAAGCCTTCAATCCTACGTAATGAAGCCAATATGTCTATGTTAAACATGTCGCACAATTACTGATTCTCCCTGCAGTAGCGTAGCTTTCAGAGCCGTGTTTGTGCACTGAACACGTAGTACATGTGTTGTTCACAATCACATTGTACTTTTTAAAGCATAGAAATAACATTGAACATAACCGCAATGTGTCCCAGTATATACCCTTAATGTGCACTGCGTCGATCACGCAAATGTATCGTCCGAAACATCTGCTTCTATTCCAGCCTCTGATAGATATGTTGACAGTTATTACTATCTATCAGAGGCTGAAATAGAGGCAGATGTTTAGGACTAGGCAAATGATATAATATTTAATTAGATTATCTGTGTCTTACATAGAATCACAGACAGCGAACTGCCATGAACAAGGATGTCTGTCCTGGGTGACATCGATGCTAAGGATGTGGATGATATTGGAATTGATAAAGATTTAGCTCGGGAATCTTTTACCTTATCAGTAGTGCATCCGAAAGTTGAGATGATCCGGTGTCGGCTTTCAACCCATACCATCTATCTGAAGGGTCCAGACGTTGATATTGATTTTGTCGGAGTCAGGGTCAGGGGCTGGGAATGTTGCCAATAGAAGTAATAAGAGTACCGTAAAGTGGGGTTACTTTGCACTATTTATTTTTTAATTTAGTACACACAAAAAGGCTATAAATCCCTTTACAATCCCTTTAAGCCAATAAGCATTCCATTTTGTTGTAAACAGGCTGCAGGTGTATACAACAATTAATATCAACTTAATAACAGTAAAAAACCGAGACATGTATTTAATCAATATCCAGCATTCTAATGATAACATTGTGAATATTTATTCATACGTTGATCCTGATTTAATGACAAATCTATATCAGCTGATGAATATTCTCTATTTCATCAAAATAACATGGATGCTTCAAAGACAGTCTTTAAAAACATCCAAAATCGATGGCTACCAATACGTCGGAGAAGACTGACTGGGTTCTTTCCGCAACCAATTAACCCCAAACCCTATAAGTTAAAGTAGACCTGCTCTCCAGTCAGAGGAGGCGAAAAAAACACAAACATACAAAATGGCGCCCGCTATAAACAAAGCTATGATTTTGAAGTTTTTGTTGAATTTGTCTCGTTTAAAGCGCAAACGAACCTTACGGCTTAAGAATCTCCAATTTTTTTTTTTAAGACACACAGCAATGAAAGTGCATGTTTGCGTGCGCTGTTTGCCAACTCGTCACCCCAAATAGCTCAGAGCTTCGGTCTCTTCATCACTCCAGGTAGCTCCCCGTTGGGCACACATTTTAACAGTAAGTCGATCCTTTTTTTGTCAAAGTTTAGCCTAGTTTGTCATTCCCGCGAATAAAGTAACAGGGTCAAGGTCATTAAATTTTAGAGGGCACTAAATACTAATCTTACGTAAGAAGCTGAAGAATACATCTCACGAGGATTTGGAAGTGAATGTAGAATACAATTTTCATTTTCATGGTCTGCGGAGGCGGGGCACAAAAATCACCGGCTAAATACACAACTGATAATAAGTTATCTCAAAAAGTTTCAATAACTCTTGTCACTACAACGATTAATACAAATCAAACTCAACCACAGGATTATTGAGTACGAGTCGAAGGTCATTACAATATTAATGATAGCTACATCTGGTTTATAATAGTATACTAGTCACTATTGTTTTAATTGTTTCATTTCATCACGTGTATATTGATAATCCGAAACTTTCCAACTTAAATATGGGACGTATAGACCATCGTATAGAAATTGCTGTTACCTGAAGAGGATTCGAACCCAGGGAATCTAGAACTTAGTCGCCAGGCAAACGAAAACCCAACTCGGCACCGATTGAGCTGCCTGAGATAGATTTATGTGACTTATGTCAGTTATCTCGACAGAATAAGCAAAACTGAGGATTTGTTTTTGAGGGAGTATATCAAAGTTGAATTATCAGCGGATTTTTAAACTGATAGCAGAACAGACCGTATGTTGGATAAACTGAGGATACACACTACCGAACTAAAATGAAAATAAGACCGAAGCATCTGCCTCTATTCCAGCCTCTATTCTATTTGAGAGTTATTGCCCGGTGAAGTGGCAGAAAAACTATGTGTATTATTCTTCTACCTCAAAACGTTTATCCCTTTAATGAGTGACTAGATTTTTAGCCATGCGTAGAAAATAATTTCCAAAGTCCAGATGAGGGGACATATTTCGGACTAGTATTAAGTTAAACATGTGACAAGGAAACTGCAGGGCGAATTTATTTTGTATTGTCCATATTTATATTGATGTTTTTATTGGTATATATATTACTCGGTGGTCAACTATATTAGTATTTCAATGAACAAATCTCAGTCAAGGTAGGCACATTCCTTCTTCTTTGCATGATTCCGTCTGGTGCCATGCCGCCACGGATCAAGATAATGACTTTCAAATTTTCATCGTGATTTCCCATGCAGTGATGCAGGTCTGAATGGAAACGCCCATATAATTGTTCAGATGATAATAAATAGCTTGAGGTCGGTGTGTACGCAGGCTGTGTACGTTAAAGATCCTATAACTGGTAGAAATTAAACTGGATAATGCCACTGTCCTTGCAAACTTTTCCTCATTGCACACCGCATGTCTCGTCTCCGTTAGCCCATTCATGTGCAGAAAGTAGGCCGTATAACTCATTTCATTTCATCTTTACGCTGTGAAGAGAAGAAGTAGGCTATTCTGTGAAATTCCATTTCCTTATTTTTCTTCAAGAATATTTCTCATTTTCATATGTAATTCATAGAAACATCTCTTGCTAGTTAAAGGGACAGGTAGGCCATATATTTTCACCAATTAAACTTTAGTGTCAGAAATGGAAATTGTTCTCTAGCTAAACCGATCATTAATAGTGTTCAAAGCTCACCGTTGAAATTTGAGCCTTCAAATCCATTTGTGTCCAGAATTATCCGCGATTGAATGTTTAAATGACGACTCGTCAATTTAAGATATCCTGTGATATATAGAAAAGACATATATAGGAAAAGTGAGTAAAATTCCTAGTTTGAAGTATTTTTAAAGGAATTATGCGATTTTCATATATTTCTAGTACTTCTGAAGACTATTTTCATATATTCAAGATTAAAATCAACCCCCCCTCCCCCCCAAAAAAATGGCCCACCTTTCCCTTTAAATCAATTACATGTACATGTAGGCCTGGCATTCTGAGCAATTTCAGGATAATCATTACTATATAATAGCATACTACATATACACGTATTGGCCTATGTAATTTGATATCTGTTATATAAAGCGTTCTTAATTTTATCATATGCTATACATGTACTTGTAGATAAAACCAAACCATTGCTGTATCATATGAGTAGCCTATCCATAACCCTTATATTTATCAGGAGCAGGCCCCGTATACTTAAAACATCTTAAGTGAAAATATTTCCTTAATTTCTAAGAATATCCTTATAATTTCTTCCTTAGGTTCTTTCCTCAATTAAAGTGGTATGTATAGAGTGTTTTAAGACAAAATGCTCCTAAATATGTCCTTTACTTTAAAGGAACAAATGTGCCACTTTGGAGTCTTCAGTATATGTAAATAGGCTTCAGTTCAGAAGTACTAGAAATGTACGAAAATCGAATAATTCTTTCAAAAATATCTCAAGCTAGGAATTTCTTTTCCTATTTCTTTAGATGCCTCTAAGTCTACAAAAGCTGTTCTGGGGTAAGGGTCCATTGATTTGTACTCTGATGTTATTTATTTCGTGTGCACCAGGGTACATGTCGATATGTCAATTATTGTCTCCTGCTTGAGAACGACCCAGCAAACGAAGGTCGTAAAATCACAATGAATCTTTTATGATATTCAACTGCGCTCAAAAATATCAATAAATAGTATTGTTCCATCGGCAATAGACATTGTAGACATTGTAGACAGTATTAAAGTTACCATACTTAAATTATTGAGGTCAATGCGATCTGAATCTGAAACTGGGTTTTGGCTATGTACCAAGTTAAAACCCCCGATGAGAGCTTCATTTGATATTTATCTGCCAGAATTCTGTTTTAACAGGGTAAATCGACACCTTCAAAGATCCGGAAATTTCAAACTTATCGAGCATCTCAAATTCTCTCTATTTCAACATTTTTGGGGCATATTTTCATAGATATTTAATGTTTCTATTTCTGACTCTTTCAGATGACGTCAATACCCACTTCATTAAACCGGGAATTAGATACGTCACCTTCGGATCATTTATTCTTCTCTTTAGTGTCCACCATCTTTTTTCTTCCACTAGGCGTTGCGGCAATATTACAGGGTCTTAAGGTATGTTTCTTACTATAAATGAAAAACCGTTGCATTCTCAGTTGCTATAAAAACCATCTTGTGACCATCTTTTGCTTTCTGGCGACTTCCAACTACACATGTACTACTTCTGAATGCTTTTTATGGGTACGTTAATATATACGACGTTGTCAAGTTTTGAGATATAGCCGAGATGATTACATTCAGAGAGACCTTTATAATAACAATACTCCTTTTTTTACAGGTACGAAAAGCTCTGAAATTAAATGATTTACCAACAGCAGAGTATGCCTCTGCCAGAGCAGCTAGATTTGCATTATCAGGAGTGTTACTAGGAGCCAATATGGCGGCTATTGTCACGTGTGTAGTGCTAGTGGTTATTAACCAATCGTAGCGGACATAAAGCTACGCAAATATTCAAAATGGGCATAAAGTTATTGTTCATTCTTGACAATCGTAGTGTGAAAATCATTTTCGTTTCAATATTAACTCTAAAGAGGCAAGTACGCAGTGGCGGCGCCAGCCTCCCGAGACTAGGGTTACAAATAGGGGCCAGACGGACTCAATTAAGGTAGGGGGGGGGGGGCAACTGTCGAGGCTCAATTGAAAATGTGGCAACTCTGAGGAGGCGTCACATCTGAAAGCCTCTCATGGAGCGTCTGAGAGGGTTCTCGAAGAAAGTTATATAGACAAATTGAAATGATTTTGTGCATCTTGACACATATATTGGGGCAAATACGTTTAACAATCAAATTTGTTAAATATAAAGTGGGGGTACAAACCATTTTTCTTAGCACCCCCACCAACCCCCTTGTTCACCCAACCCCTTGTTCCCCCGCTTGGGCCGCCGCTGCATGTACACAGCACAACATATGTTTATGAACGTATGTTATGGAGTTTTTGTCGCGGGTATAACTTATTTTTGGATCACGCTATTTCTATGAGTTATAGGGAAATATGAATCGATTCTCTGTAATACAATAATTGCACTATCAAGATATTTTTATTATAATAATTGTCAATAAAAACATATTTATAGAGGCCTTATACGTGTGTATATGTTTTATCCAAAAAGATTATCAGTGCATTACGGACTTTTCTATGTAAACGCCTTAATGTGCCCCCTTTTAGACTAATAATATGTACAAAAATATAAAGGGTATATATTTTGACGTTACTCTGTGAGCCTGTAAACAACAATAACACGTCGTAAACTTTCCAGAAGGCACAATTTTTAACTCAAAATTAAGAACCTGCAATATTTTTCGCTACCAATGTACTCGATCGTTTCCATAGAATTCCAGTCTAATTTAAATTCGATAACCTTTGTTCCGTTTTTATAAGCTTATATAACTCATTGGAGCTATTCGAACTAGTTTGGTCTAATTTTAATTAGACTGTATAGAATTCGTAAAGCTAATAACAAGTAAGTTAAGTTTAAAAATATTTATTAAATGGGTAACATTCAGATTTTCCATCTAACGGCCAAGGTTCGACATTTTCTGCAATTTGCAACAGATTTCTGAAAAACTCTCTTGAAAATGCCAGGATCGATATAGCAGATTTGAAGCCCGGCAACGTTTTCCCTAACCAGTTCCTCTGACTCTCTTTCCAAC